TTATTCTGGAGGAATAATTTCCTGCATTTTCCAAATTCGGTATGAGAAATAGGGGTTTTCATTAAAAAAGTAAGGTTAGCCTTGAAATAACTTTGGGGGTGGAGTAGGGGGTCATTTGGATCCCATAAATATCCCATCATGTGAACGTACAATTTCACGTAGAATTCTAACCTGCGACGAAAAATATGGGGTTCCATATAAAAAGTAAGGTTGACCTCGAAACGACTGAGGATGGAGTACGGGTCATATGGACTCCACGCGTATTACATTATTTGAACGTAGAATTTAACGTAGAATCCGAGTCCGAGATAAAAAGTAAGGGTAAGGGTTCCTATTTCAAAAAAACATTTACCTCGGTATAACATGACCCCCTTGGTATTGAGCAACTTTTGTCTCAACTATTTTTCTGTACTATGCATAGAAATTGAGTTATGGAGGTCCATAGATTAAAATGACGCACCCTGTATAGTGTTATTGCACACAGGCAAACTCCGGCTTTTCCTCCTCCCTCTACTCCCTCTTAGCCGCGAACATTCGTCATCGAGGTGTATCATTTTTAATTATTCAAATTCGGCACGGAATGTTATCACTCTATTTCATTTCTCCTACTCTTTCGATCTTGCTCTATCTATCACTTTGCCTAAGCACAGTAGTGTGATGCGCTATCTTTATCTGTTCATTAAGTTATTTCTTTCTAGCTATCCTATCGCAGCACATAAGAAGGCGTGACCTACGCAATGCGGGCATATAAATATTTGATATTGGATTTTGTATCTGACTGATTGAAATTATTGATAATTAGGCATTTATATACATTTTTACACACAATAAATTAATAAATTTATTTGTAATCATTAATTACTCTTTATTTTTCCTCAGTTAGAAACTATTTTTTTTTATTACAAAAAAAAGAGAGCTTTGCGTGCTTAGTCTTGACCTAAGTTGGCTGGACATTTTGGAAAAATGGATGTGGAAGAGAGAGAGAGAGAGAGAGAGCGAGAGAGAGAGAGAGCGAGAGAGAGAGCGAGAGAGAGAGAGAGAGAGAGAGCGAGAGAGAGAGAGAGAGAGAGAGATTAGAATAGATTAGTTCGTTTATTGCGTTAATGAGGTGGAACCCCGTCTGGCAGTTTAAAAAATGTACAAATCAAATAATAACAAAAATTTAAAAATGACAAAAGAAGAGATGTAAAAAAAAATAGTAACGCATTTAACTATTTAAAGAAAATGAATTAGGTGAAAATGCATGAGTTGTATGAACGGTGAGCAGAAAATTTACAATGGCATTAACAGTAAGAAGACTAAGAATATGTATGTAAAAAGAAAAATAGAATATAATATGTAAAAGATAGTAAAAATAAAAATATATAAAGAACAATATAATTAAAATAACAAATAAAACAACAAAAATAACAATAATAAAAGATGAAAAATAATGTAAATAGCCGATCGGAATAGCCTGCTGATCGGAGTGGCAGCCACTGACATGGTACCAGAGCGTGGAGCGGCCGGGACAGGAGGCTGGCCGGGAGGCAAAGGCGTACAGCTGTCAAGGTTGCTCTCCGACAATATGGGGATCGGGGTTGAACGCGTGTTCTTCCGCATATGGAAGAACATACCCGAGACTAAAAGGCGCGCGAAATCCAGCTCACGACTACGCGCAAGCGCCTTCACAAGGAAATTGTGGATCGGCTGGGGTAACAGCTGGCGGATGAAAACGGGATTACCGAGACCGCACTTAAAAACGTCTCTCACCATTTTCCCAGCGAGCTTCCCAGAGCGCTCCAATACGACATCACGCACCACCGTTGAGTCGATACGCACAACGAAAGTGGACGTAGTATCAGTCGGGTTGGGACGAGAATGAGTGGTAGTCCATTTTCTGGTGGCCGCTATGCAATCGCTAGCATTTGGGTAGCCAATCACCTCGAAAAGCATACCGGCAGCATCCTCCAGTGAATCTTGGACCTCCTGCGGAAGGCCCAGAATAAGGAGCTCGGAGCGGTCCTTGAGACCCACTACAGATTTGAGGCTCTTCACTTCGTCGGCGACACGATTGACTTTGGTTAGGATGGACGTCTGGGTGGTTCTAATCTCGTTCCGAAACTTGGTGAATTCATTATTCACGAAACCGGAAAACCATGCTGGCGGTTCATCGCCCCTGGTAGGTGCCATGCTATCGAGCAAGTGGATTTGGTCCGCACTGGGGGAAGAAACAGTGGGAAGGGCAACCGATCGGTCAGTACTAGAGATGTCACTCCGGGATTCCACCTTCAACGTCTTCGATGGGAATTGGCCAAGACGGCAGACTCAATAGAACAGGTACAGGTAGAAATAAAAGTTGCAAGGTCAGGGTTTAAGGTTATATCGGAGCAGTGCTGATGGAAAGATTTATCACAGGCCTCGCACTGCAAGATATTGACACCCCGATAACTCAGTGCTTCATTTCACTCGGCGCATAAAGACAAGACCATTTGATAAAAGTGGAAGGTTTGGAATTTAAAAACGAATTAAGACAAAAAATAAAAATTCATAGATTGTGTCAAAAAGTTTCCCATCTCTCCTCCTCGGATCTCAAAACTTCACAAGAAACTGTAACAAACGAGGTAATTTAAAAGGACAGATTGATACGACAAATTGAAAAGTTTGAATTTCGCGCGAAAATTTGAGTCACTGACCAATCAGAAAATGGAGCTGTGAAAAGTCAGGATTAAAAGATTTGAAAATTGGCGACTCAGTGGCACCAACTCAGTTAGTTAAGGATTGAAAATTGACGGGAGATTCGGGAGTAAAATGATGCCATTTACAAGACGTGGTAAAGGGATTCGCAAATTAACCTAGAAATGATTAAAACGCAAAAATAAATAAATAGCTTATACGCAAAAATAAAATGAGAAAAATGATTGATGAAGCGTACGCAGAAAATCACATTACAAGTAAGTGAATGGTAAAAAAGTAAACGCAATTTGACACAGTCGATCGAATAAAATTAAAATTAAAATTAGAATTAAAATTGTCTAGCGTGTAGATGGCGCTAGATGAAAAATACAAACAAAATTACGTTAAATAAAACAAAACAAGCTGAAGTAAAAAAAATAAAATTAAAATAAAATTAAAATAGCCATCGCGATGACTAAGCGCAAGGATAGATTAAGTTAAAAGTTGTGATGCGGCGAAGAAATAACACCGGCAGTGAGGAGTCTCTCCGAGTAGATTGAAATATGTGGATTAACGGTAAAAATTGTTGATACAGGTACTTAGCAGCGAAAATTTTGGAAGTGTTGCATTTGGTAAGGTGTGTAGTGTGTAGTGTGTAGAGTGTAGCGGTCCTGGTGTGGAGGCTGTGTTGTTGTTTGCGTTGTTTGCAGAGATGTGTAGATCAAAATTCGTCAAAGTTGGAGATTTGGTGAAGGTTATGTTGTAACCAGGCAGGCGATTAATTCATCCACTGGCCAAAAATTGACTGAAAGCCAAAAATTTTTAGCAGGAAGCGCAGTGGCCAGCTGGACGAACTTGCCTTCAAAAATATGCCGCTCGAGGAAGTGCAAAAGTAGAAAAATATTTATAAAAGAAGAGAGCCTCAAAACCAGTGTATCGCTACTCACCGAGAGAGAGAGAGAGAGAGCTCCTAGGCCTCGCGTTTGAGCTTTTATATCCTTTGGGAATAATGATTGGATTCTTTTGGGCCCTCGGTGCAACTTCATTTTAAATCGTGGGAGTAGTGAAAAGTTTCTCTTTTTAAAATTAGGAAACCTAATTGACTAGAGGACGTCAATTTTTCTGAAAAGCGAGGGCGGTGTTCATTCAATTTTTGTCTTTTTCTCCGGAGAGGGAGGAGAGAGAGGGCTCTCGAAGTATCGTTTTCCAAGGTAATAGTGACACTATTGCTAATAACTATTTCGTATGAAGCTACTTACATAATTATTACTTGAAACCACTTAAAGTTACTAACTACATTTATTTACAAGGCATAATTTACTATTACTTCCACATATTTAATTATAATTATTTATAACAAAATTTGCATTTGTAAGGAAGACCATTATGAAATGTATATACGTTATTATAATCATAAGTTTTAATTTATATAGATACAAGCAATGATTATTTAATATTATTATTAATGAATACATGGATACACGCATTTATCTGGCGCGGCCGAAAAACATAATTATTTTGGAATATATTCTTTTTATGTTAAGTGCATAGTTTCCATTCATTATTCTTCGTATTAAAATTCCGTTTTTTTGATTTGATAAGAAAAATTCTTTATTTGATAAAATGTTAGAGGATTTTATTTTTTAGATTAGTGATACATATTATTTATGAATATTTAACAAATTCGTAAGATTTACGTGTTATTTTTTTATACATTGAATTCCTAACAGCATAATGGAGCAAATTTTTAGAAGGAAAAGCGAAAACAGGATATCGAGAAGAAAGGAATATTTCGCGACTATCTCTTGCAGCACGTGTTTTTTTTCGAGATGACTATGACGTTTTTAGTATTTACTAGACGACCTTCGAAGAAACTCAAGATTCATGTTGTGAACACAAATGTTTGAAAATCAAAGAAAAGTAATTTATTTTTATTTGTTAGAAAACATAAAGTCATCATATCTAATTCCTAAAAAATTTAATCCCATTTTTAAGGCTTATAATAAAACGGCTATAATACAAAACTTTAATTAATGATTCCTTCGTAGGAAAGAGATTTTATAAATTTGAAAAATTATTTTTAAAGAATATGAGATGGCGAAATCCGTTTTTAAAAGAAAAAAATTAATTCATAATTATTTAATTAATTGATTGATTTCATAATATCGCAAAAAACCTATTCTTTGCCCATTCAGATTAGGATTATTTAAAATGAACATAATAGAGCAGTTCAGAAGTCAAAGACGAATTCCAGATAAAAAATTACTTCGGCAACAATCCTGGAGTATTCTAAAACATAATTTTACACATCTGTATTATGAATAATGAATAAGATGGGTACTTACTGAGGTCGCCTGAAAGAAGAGCATCTGCTAATCGAGGATTGTTTTGTTTCAAAAGTGACAATTGATCTGGATTGGCTAAAAACATATCTTTTATTAAGGCAGGGTCATCTTGATTATTTGGAGATCTCAGTCCTTGGAAGTTTGAGTTATCGCCTTGATTTGTCGAACTAGTTGAATTTCTAGGAACTTTTATAGAACTAAAGTCCAACAAAGGAAGTTCTGAAATAAATTAATTGTAGATAAAATTGGGTTTTTTTATTTTAAACAAAAGTATGATAAATTTAAACCCACGAGACAGAATTTATTAGATGAGATTAACTTGGTGCATTTTCTGATATGTGTATGTGAGATAAATTATCATCATATACTCTTTATCCTAATATTATTGTTTTAAAATAGTCGACTACATCATAATTCTTGCATTTTTAATTTTATAAATTGTTTTTGTATGGAATTTTATCTATAATATTAATAAACATGTTGCTAATGTGATTTACAATTTGATTTCAATTTTACATCCTATTTAAAATTAGATTTTAACGTTCTATAACGAACTATAAAGCTGGTACCTCGAGTTTTATGTGTTTATACTTATGAAAGACATACATACATACATACATACATAAACATGCAGTTTCTTTATCGCCGGTTTTTTATATGTGAAAGATATTGGGTTCGATCTATTTAGATAAAGAAATGAATAAACTATTAGTTTTCTGAAATTTTCTAATAAAAACAAAAAAACCATAAGATTAGGATATGAAGTAAAGTCACAGCAAATCGTTTTGTCAATTGAATAATACAGTAAAACATCGTAATTTTGTAGGCTATGAACAAGCCAATCAATTTCTAAGGACAGTTGTAGTATAATTATAAATATTACGAAGTTTAGCTATGTCTTTGTCAATAAAACTAGAGCAAAAACTCTTTATATATAAGATTTCATTAACTTTTCTCCAATTAAATAAAAAATCAAGAATATTAGTTCTAATCTGATTAAACTCATGGTGATTTTTCCGCATATGCACATTAATGTCTTAATTATGTTCTTATTATTTATATGTTCATTTGCACATATTTTCAGTGCACGTTTTGTTTTACCGATATACACTACATTACAATGCTACAATTCAGCATTAATCAATATTCGTAGTGATATTCTTACCCGATTTCATAATTGAATTTGAGATTTTATGTAGGTTATATAATTATTTATATTATATGACTTTAAATGTTTTTTTTAATATAATAGTTTAAATTTTAAAGAAAACATGCTGTCTTAATGCTACAGTTAGTCTTGTGACTATGTTTTGATTCATTACTGATTAAATATAATTTTTTTAATTAAATAAGAATATGTTGTAAAATTAATTTTAACATGTATTTTTTGTTAATTAAATTTTTTTGATTTTTCTTCTCTTTTGTGCATTGCAACGGTAGTCGATTTAATTAATCAACTCGTTCGCGATTCTGCTTCTCGCGCGTTAGTTCGAACTATTGAGAGAGAGGGGGGGCGCGCGATCTTTTGAATAAGCAGTTACGCCTCAGCTGTTTATGCGAGTTACCGCCGATTTGTTTTCGCACTTTGTTTTCGCCGAATAAAGTTTTCTCTGGGACAAATACGTGCGGGTGTGCAACGACGATATTGCAGCAGCAAGCAGCGGTATAGAAGCAGCAAATAACAGCTGATACAGGAAGTACAAGGCGGAGCAGCTGATTAATCGAGGTGCAGCGGCAGTTGAAATTTTACAACAACAATTACGGCTGATCACCGTAATTGCACCGCATGGTAGGTGCACCTCCCGTCTTATTAAGCGATACAAAATACTTTCGGTATTTTGTATATTCGAGATAGCGATATTTTTTATATTCGCGCTGAGCGTTAGTTCGCGGTAATATTCGAATCTTCTCTCTCTCTCTCTTTCTCACCGAACAAAATTAAATTGTAAAATCCTATTTTCGTGCGTCAGTCTTTCGGCCCAACAAAGACTGTAGTGATTTTTTATTAATTAAAGTCTGTTAAATTTATTCGCCGTTTTCGTCATTTGGTTTTCCTGGTAGCTTAAGTATTTGAAACAGGCTTAGGTTTTAATCCAATTACATCTAGGGGATTAAGAAGATTAGGAGTAAAGTCGCTCACACTTAAAACTCATCAAGTTTAACGAGACACGTGACTTAAGGTGAGTTCAACTCCGTTTGATACAAGACAACTAAGATAAATCATCTGACGTTAAGGCGAATACACGTATTATCATACGTGTTTAACGGAGCGGCGGTTTGTTTTGCATCGTGGGAGTTTGTTCTTAAATAAATTTCCCATTTTCAGATTATCTCCCCCGTTACAGCATGAAAATATTTATCTGATAGTAAAAATGCACGATCAACCGAGTTATATATAATGTTCTTTTTATATATAAGTGGATGATTCGACAAAAAATATCAATCAACCAGAAGAAATTTCTCTTTGATACCAGTCAGGCAAGGCTCTGTTGTCTTGCCTAAAGAATTAGAAAACTGAATATTCTATCTATTTAAATTTCTGAAGTTAACTTCAGATCATTGCGGTATTTATTAAATTTTTATAAATTATATTATTAATTGTACTCAGCTAATCACTTTCTAGATCGCTATTTTTCTCTATAGTTAGGGTAGTGAATAATTATATTAATATTATGATTCATCACATTTTTGTCAAAAAGTAAAACTCAAATGCGAGTAGGCTATTTTATATTTTAAAATCAGTTTTGTAGTAACAAGGAGGTAATTATTACCATTTCGTAATCATAATAAAAATTGATAAATTAAAATTTTTACTTGCTTGTAATTACTAAATTTATTTTAAAATAGTCTATAGGCTCTAGGTCTATATTCACGAAAACCTACTCGCGAATAAAAAGTTTGACTTTTTGAAAAAATTAGGGTGGACAGGGGGAAAAAGGGAGATTTTATTAACTGTACCAAGATCGTATAAAATGAAATCCATAGACACGACTGCTTTTAATTGTAGATAATATAATTAAAGAAATCTTTCCAATATATTTAAAATTACAAATTGATGGATTATCGATACGAACAGTAAATCTCATGTCTCAAGACTCGTATTTATAGATTGAATGTATACCTATATTACCGATATCGAGCCATGACCAATCTATTTTTATAAACCAAAGAAAGTATGTAGTTCATATACAGATTATGTACACTGTGTTACTTCAATATATATCCACAATATGTAGTATAATGTGACAAATATTTATAATACTCACCCTAAGATAAAATCTGATCAATAATAACGTCAATGAAAAAAAATTTTGTTTTCCAAATAACTTTCTCGAAATTACATCGGATAAACTGAAACTTTTTTGAATAAAAGATGGTAATATAGACTTTCGATGTTACTTTTTCATACATCAGTATAATATGCATGAAGACTATAAAGACGATGAAATTCGAGGAGTTGTGATTAGTTAACTTATTGCATATAGTGTCGGGTTTCATAGCTATTTCATGTCCACACGCAACTATGCCGCGACCACTTGACCAAATACTCGTATATTAAGCAATACTTAATAATTAAGCGGGTACTTGATTAAATACTCGTATATTAACCCATTAACGTCCAAAATGTCAAAATTTCTTGCACGTTTTCAAAGTGATTTTTTCCTATGTAATTGGCGTTGAAAAAATTCTTGAACCACATATTCTGATGTAAAATTGCATGCTCTTTCAGAATCCGTTGCCAGAATCATGATAAAACTCACAGAAAAAGAGATATGCTCGATTGAAACATAAAAAACACCTAAATTTTCGAAAAAAAAATTTTTAGGATTTTTTTTCGAAGTGTTACGGTGAAGATATCACCTTGCGACCGTGATCAAAGGTGATCATGGGATTTGAAGTTTAACAGGGAATTTTTTTGTTTACCTTGAACCATCGCTTCTTTACAAAATGGCGGAAAAAACGAATTTTTTTTTTTCAATCTTCATCAACTTTTTTCTCAAAATCTATGGTCTTTAGAAAAAAATTCATAAAAACAAAAATGCCTTAGAATCGCTCGAGGAACATTCTCAAATTTTTTCAGAATTTTTTGAGACATTTTTGAAAATCCCATTTCCCAAGTTTCCCGGAAAATCAAAAATTGTCTCAAAAAATTCTGAAAAAATTTGAGAATGTTCCTCGAGTGATTCTAAGGCATTTTTGTTTTTATGAATTTTTTTCTAAAGACCATAGATTTTGAGAAAAAGTTGATGAAGATTGAAAAAAAAAATTCGTTTCAAAGGTTTTTGGCGACCATTTTAAATCTTTCATTATGTCTATCTAACTATATTCGAAACTATGATTATGTCATCTATAAATACGTAGCAGAAGCTTTTTTCTAGTAGATCGCCGAGTGCCTTTGTCAGAACTTTGGAAAACTCTGGGGAGTTTATCAATCCAAATGATAGCATTTTAAATTCAAATCATCCTAAGCCCGGTATACTGAATGCAGTTTTGTGTATGCCTGATTCCTTCATTTTGAATTGAAGAAATCCCGACACGAGATCGATTGTTGTAAAGGATCAATTTTTTCCAATACAATCAATAATTTCTGTTATATTTGGTAGTAAATAGGGATCTGGTATTGTTTTAATATTTAATTTTCTGTAATCAATTACTAATCTTTATTTTTTTTCCCGCATTTTGTTACACCCTTTTTCGATACGATCCACGCAGGTGCATAAATGCGCTTGTTGATGGTCTGACTAAGTTATTTATTAATTTTTTTGTGAAATTCTGAGACAACAACTTGTTTCAATGTCTAGGGTAGTAGAAATTATTTAACATAAATTGGTGTATCATCTGTTAGGTTTATTTCATGTTCTTCTATCTTGCAAATGCTAACTTTTCCCCCCTTCTAACCAGCATATATCTTCAAATGCAAGTATTAAGTTTTCCATGAGTTCCATGAGTTCTCGTTTTTTCTTTTCTAAATGATTTGAATTTTTTGTATTTAGCAAAGGTGATCTTTTTTGATTTATAATATCTTCATTATTTAAGTTTGTTTGTAATTTTTTTTTGTTAGATACATAGAACCACAATTTAAGATTTCTAATTCTTTAAGTACGAGTTTTACTGTAGTACCTTCAAGTCTTTTACATAGGTGTATGCATAAGTCCTTTTAGGTTTCATTCGGAGGTAGCGCTACCGAATAGTACGTCGTGGCTGAATTTGACACTAAG